GAATCTCTTTATTAGAGCCAACATCTCATACAACTTGGGTCATTTTGACCCAAGTTAGAATTCATCACATGTCAATCCAATCCCCACTCAAAGACATAAGCAAAGTACATGATGACAGGGCTGGACCAAACATCTACTACGATCCTTGGTGTATCACGATTGCGCACAATCTTTAGTTGTCTTTCATCCAGAGCATCTTTTTTTCTCCTTGTTACAATATTCCTTTCATTTTACTAAAATGAAGACTTGCTACACTCTCAGCAGAACATTGAGCTGATTTTTTTCCTAACCTGACTTTGAAGGCCCTCAGGGATGAGGGCCAAATTCATTGCTTTCCCAGATGTAAACCTTAAGTGTTTCTAGTCCTCTGTAATGTTCTAGCCTGTCATGATTTGGCCATTCATAAAACTTCTTAGATTTGTTTGAAGCCATTCATACATTTGTTTCCTCCCGTACCACCTATTGGGGTAATGCATTGGCTAAGTTTATTATTCTTTGGGTGAACAACTTCCTCTGTAAAGTTTCAAAGGATGTCCCCTTATACTAGTATTTTGAAACTTGGCAAAGAAATCTGTTTTTACCTTCTTCACATTATTGAAGATTGTATAGTTTAATACAACGTTCTCTTTCTAGTCTTCACATTTCTAGGCAATGGATACCCTAAGGCCTTGGACCACCAGTTGGTTTGTGAAACATTCTCTTCAGGCTGGTCCATTAGGGGAGCAACATTTGGGTTATTTGTTGACTTATTCAGCCCTTTGTTCTGAAAAAAATTTGTTTCCTTCATCTGGACTATACTATACTCATCAAGAATAACCAAAAGTAAAGGACAAAAGCAATCATGGAATCAGAATGTTAGAGGCCATTCTTACTATAGGGTGAAGAAAGTCAAGCTTAAAGAAATAAGGTGACTTGCCCAAGATCACACTATTAGTTAAAGAGAGACCTGGATTAGAATTGGACTCGCAGGCTGATATTCTTTCCAAGGTCTTAAGGTCAAATGGACAACTGTTGTTCCTGCTTTGTTTTGTTTTTATTGTTGTTGTGCAGTGTGACCAAAAGTTCATGGTCAAAAAGTATCAAGACTGGGACTTCCCTGGCAGTTCAGTGGTTAAGACTTTGCCTTCCAGCACTGGGGGTGTGCAGCCTTCCTGCTGGCTCAGTCAGTAAAGAATCTGCCTGCAATTCAGGAGACCTGGCTTTGATCCCCGGGTTGGGAAGATTCTCCTGGAGAAGGGAATGGCTGCACATTGCAGCATTCTTGCCTGGAGAATCGCATGGACAGAAGAGCCTGGCAGGCAGCAGTCCATGGCGTCACAAAGTGTCGGACGTGACCGAGTGACTAACGCTCTACTTTCTACACTTGCAGAGAGTGTGGGTTTGATCCATGGTTGGGGAGCTTAGATCCCACGTGCTGCGGAGCCAAAACCCCCAAACATAAAAAAGCAGAAGCAATATTGTAACAAATGCAATTAAGACTTTAGAAATGGTCCACATGAAAAAAAACTTAAAGATATCAAGTTGAGATGATAAAAGTCGGGTAGCCCAGTCAGTGCTCGTCCATCCCCTACATACCTCCCTTTCTGATGAATGTGTTCCTGGTCGACCTTGCCAGATGCCCAGTGCCACTTCCTGTCTCCTCTACCCACCAATGTGATGTATACGGGTGTGTTCCTTGCCGTCCCCCGTTACCTTTTCTGTTGTCCTCCATCAGCGTGCTATGTGGCCCCTGCGTGGAGAGTCCCTGGCCCGGCACCATAGGGTGGCCTGGGGACTCTGAGGGGTAGCGCTCTTACAGGATATATACCATTTCCAGCTGAGGTACTCAGGGCCCCGCATTTGTGTCTTTTTTTGCCCCTTTCTTGTAACCAGAAGTGGGGTCTGGCTGCTCGTTGATCAAAAGCCAGTAAAGAGGCAAGTTTGGTGGGAAGTTTGCTTTATTTTAGATGCTGGCAACTGGAGAGGGGGAGGGCAGACTCCTGTCCAAAGGCGGACTCTCTCCCTTGCCCCCGCCACTCCCGCTGACAACCAGTGGACAAGGGCTTTTATAGACAGAGGGAGAGGGCTACATATAGAAACAGTTCTGACAGTCATCTTGAAATTGGTCAGCAGTGATCCGACCAGTGTCATTTTGATTAAGTACAGTCAGTCTTCAGTTCCAGGGTCAGTTTGTTCCCAGCTCCTCGAGGCCAGTTCTTGGAATAGTGGCAGCTGATGTCATGGCTACAGTCTGTCATCATGTAGTTAACTTCTTCCAACTGGTGGGGTTTCAGTATCTGTAAGACAGCTCACCGGATGTGGCTCAGAACATTGCCTATAGCCCTCGAGAAGGAATGAAAAGTCCTTGACTTTGCTTCTTGGCTAAACTATCATTACTTGGTCTCCTTTGACTGTTTCCCTTTGTTTCTACACTTTCTCACTTCTCTGATTTTCTGGCTAAGTTTTTCCACAGACAAAAGGCAGATTGAGGACATGGGGTGGGGGGCGGGAGTGGGGAGAGGAGCCTAAGTGTCCTGCTGCATTTCACTCTTATTAGAGTGACACAAAGCGTGAATATTGCGGAGCCCCGGACGTTGTGACCACCCCATGGGATGATTCTGCCTGGAGGAGCCTTTCCCACTGCCTTATGGCTTTCAGGAGTTGTCATGGGGCTGCAGGTGGTCCTTCATGTTTGATTCTGAGCCTGCCTTTTGCATAGAGGCTTCAGCTCTGCTGTTTTGATCCTCCTCCGTCTTCAGGTCTTTTCCTCCCAGAGGTAGGCATGGGGGTTGATGTGACTGGACATTGAACTCAGCCAAGAGCAGCATAAGTGCACCTGGGACAGGCACTTGAAAGCAAGAACTCAAGGGAGAGGCATGTGGAGATGAGGGAGGAGGAAAGATAGGTTTTCCTATTCCCACCTTTTCATTGTTTTATTACGACTCTCCTCCAGCCATTGTGGTTCACTTCTTCCTCACTTTGTTGTGTTTTATAGTTGTTAATCTCCTTCCTGAGTTTCTCCTATTCTACTTCTTGGAATGCTCTCATAGGCACATTTCTTCTTGAATGGCTGAGCAATTTTTCTGTGTTGCCTTGTCTTGGAGAAGTTTCCCTTCGTGAAGTCTCTCCAGCTCTCCGCCTGTTGGTGTCGGCTGTTCTTAACATTTACTGGTGCTGTGTGGGTTTCTGGATTTGAAGCAAACATTGAGTCTTTCGCATTCTGAGTCTAGAAGGATGATATTTCAGAGCTCAGTGCATTGGCTAAAAGAATTGCCCAAACTTTAAAGCTGTACGTTTATGGGCATCTTGTAATAACAATGGTGGATGTTATTATGAGTCTATTACCTTGAAGATTGCAAAGTGTATCTACAGGGCTTGCCTCACGGAACTGCCCAACCAGCCTGCCTGTGTAAAGGTTCCAGGTACCTGAGGGCTCTACCTTTCTTATCATTGTAAACTCATGAGTAGAGATGACATAATTTCTCTTTTCCAAACTCTGCCCCCACTTTTGAAGAATGCTCTGCACACAGTGGGCTCTCAATTTTCTAGATGGGCTTGTAAATCTCAATCCTTAACTACCCCCAGTACAGCTTTACTGTAATTGAAGAAAACCCAATATATAAAAACTAGAATTTACAGAAACATATTATTTGTATTACAAAAGGATTTATCATAGGGCGTCCTCTAATAACAAACTCCTTTAGCAGATTCAAGTATTTTTTTTTTTCTCAGAAGGCAATTTAATGTAGATGGAAAAAATAGATGAATTTGGCTAAGGGTCATAGAGATTGCATAAAACAGGAACCTTTGCTTCTTTGAGACTCAGGGCTAGGTATCTCTTTTGATCATATAATTTTGTCATATACAGAGGTAACTGTTATTATTATGAGGCACATGTTCTCAATTTATGGAAATAGTACAGTAAGGTTAAGAAACATAGAACTAAAGGGCAGCCTTCTCCTGGGTTTCAGCCTAGATACCAAGATCTATCCTATCATGGGTAACTTGAAAGGGAATTGCACACACACACCCACCAACCCACCCACACCCCCCCTTTCCTAGGTAGGAAGAGTACAGGGCACTGGCCTGCAACCCAGAATAACCCTGGCTTTGCGTGAGTACTTTCCCTGAGGCCGCTCCGACCTGTCCTAAACTCCGTGATGCTCTGTCTTTGCCCAACCCAGTGGACAACTTTCCCAGTGACTGTGATTTTTCCAGTAGTCTTGTATGGATGTGAGAGTTGGACTATAAAGAAAGCTGAGCGCTGAAGAATTGATGCTTTTGAACTGTGGTGTTGAAGAAGACTCTTGAGAGTCCCTTGGACAGCAAAGGGATCCAACCAGTCCATCCTAAAGGAAATCAGTCCAGAGAGTTCATTGGAANCCTAAAGGAAATCAACCCTGAATATTCATTGGAAGGACTGATGCTGAAGCTGAAACTCCAATACTTTGGCCACCTGATGCGAAGAACTGACTCATTGGAAAAGACTCTGATGCTGGGAAAGATTGACGTAGGGAGGAGAAGGGGACGACAGAGGATGAGATGGTTGGATGGCATCACCGACTGACTCACTGGACATGAGTTTGAGTAAACTCTGGGAATTGGTGATGGACAGGGAGGCCTGGCGTGCTGCAGTCCATGGGGTCGCAAAGAGTCGGACACGGCTGAGCGACTGAACTGAACTGAACTGAAGTCATTCCCCTGCCCCAGGGCAGAGCAAAGAAGCGGACCCCAAGGTTCCCCAGCCGGCCCACCGCCTGGCTCAGCCCAGCCGCGGTTGGAAACGCGCCGTCTCTGGCTTTTTCCTTTGATGGAAATAGTCGCGACCTCTCAGCCCTTTCTCTCTCTCTCTCACTCTTGAAAGCCAATTTCCTGCCTCAATCTTATTCTTCTGAATAGAAACACGGAGCTTGCATGGAGAATGAGAAACTACTGTATCACAGGAAGCAATCACACAGAACACAAAAAGCCATTCAAAGTAATTAAACGACTCCCATCCCCTTTTCTCTTTTTCTTTTCAGCTCCGCGCTGATGGGCTGTTTATCTTCGCCACCACAACAGCGGCAGCCTCAGCAGCTGAGGAAGCGGCAAGCCGTTTTCTGCTTCGGCTCCTGCCGAGAGGGCAGAATTAAGACAAACACTTTCATTCTTGGCTGCCAAAGCGTTTTAGCTTCTGAAAAGCAAGGCAGGTAAAACGCCATCACCCCGTAAGGAAATAAATAAATAAAGCCCTGGTGATGAGAGAGAAGCTCTCTGGGTGATTTTCCACTTGGAGGAGGAAAAAGGGGTGGGACCAATGAGGATGGGGTGGGAGACTGGGGGGAGGGGGAAAGGATGGGGAGCTCATTGTTTCTAGCTCCTGGAAGCTTTTGTTCTCTTCCGCTGGGGTAAGGAGGCTGGGGCTCAGGTCCCAGCTATGAGAGAGCTTGCCAGCGACCTAAAAAAAAAGGGTGATGGGTTTGCAGCAGGCTTTGCTGGAAAGCAAAGGGGACCAAGGTAACCGCCCTTTTCCAGGGCAGTTGCAGAGAGAGAGAGCTAAGAGGTTGGCCTGAGGGCTTCAACAATACCCACCCCCCCACCACCCCGCCTCCCTTGTCCTGGTCCCACCGTGTCTGTGGCAGCTGCTTCAGAGACTGAATCGTGTCTTGGGGCTTAGAGTCGGAGAGAGGGAAGATCTGAAAGTGGGTCACTAGTCTCCACTCTTCCATCCGCCCAGTCTCGCTAATGCGGCTTGAATGAATTTGTTCGCTTGCGAAAAATCAATGTTTCTTCCAAATCCATGGCGTTGGGATGCTGATGAGAGAGAGCCTGAGGAGGTTTACCTAAGAAAGGGCTTCTGGGCTGTCAAAAAGTCGGTCACTCCATCAGTAGCACATTTTAGGTGGGACCGGAGAGGTGTCAGAACGCATCCACAGGAAAAAGCTCGAAACAGCAGAGTCTCTGAGGGGCAGGCTGAGCTGCCTCGCAAGGCAGTCCCCTTGTGTTGACTCACACCTGCTCTTACCCCGCAATACCAGCCCCGCTGTGACCCATTTTGGGCTTTAAGAAACTTTGGCTCCAGTAGACAGCCTTGCCCAGATTGAAAATTGTGCAGAAGATGGCCCATAAATTGCCAAATCAAGCTATATGGACCATCTCAAGTCTACTTGAGATTCCTCACTCACCACTGTCGCCATCGATTCACTGTTGCAGGTTTAGCTTCCTGGTTTCTGTCAATTTCACTGCAGGTCCAGAGGTCCTGGATCCACTTCTTCCCCAGTTCCACCAGCCCTGCGTGGAGAGGCCTGTTTGGTTGAATCTGGGGAGCTGGCACCTCGCCCAGTCCCCTCTGACAGACTGCAGCATTCAGCACTCATTTTGCATCTGTCATTATCTCTCGTATGCAAGGAAGTTTAACGCGCACTAAATGCAAATGGGCAATGTATATGTTGCATTTTATTAACTCTCGTTTGAGCCTTTTGTTGCCAGGGACGGTTCTGCCTTGCCAGCATTCATCCGCAGGACCCTCGGTACTTGATTTCCTTTGCTTGCCCTGTCTCATTTCTGAAAGCCGCATTTATCCAAGGTCTGTTTCTGCGGAGATCACTGTGCCCTCCTTCTCTGGCCCATGGGGTGATGGGAACACCCACACTTCAGATGGCAGAGTCTTTCTGGGACAGTTTACTTCAACCGTGACCCAGATTTTGGGGGGCGGGGTAGTGGAGAGGAAAAACTTATGTACCTGTCACCTATCCTATATGTGACTGTTTCAGCAGATAGAGAACTATGAAACTATTTCCTGATAGGTCATATCAAGCGTTGCTGTCTAGACAGGAACGTTAAATCCTTCCCCCGCTTTTAAACATTTTTAACGGGACATAGCCTTGCTATCGGAGAAGGCAATGTCAGCCCACTCCAGTACTCTTGCCTGGAAAATCCCATGGACAGAGGAGCCTGGTAGGGTGCAGTTCATGGGGTCGCGAAGAGTCAGACACGACTGAGCGACTTCACTTTCACTTTTCACTTTCATGCATTGGAGAAGGAAATGGCAGCCCACTCCAGTGTTCTTGCCTGGAGAATCCCAGGGACGGCGGAGCCTGGTGGGCTGCCGTCTATGGGGTCGCACAGAGTCGGACACGACTGCAGAGACTTAGGAGCAGCAGCAGCAGCAGCCTTGCTATACTTTCACTCGCTTTGCCAAAGTGTTCAATATGCTAAATGAAAATGATAATTCAATTTATTCTCTCAGTAGGAAACCTTGTAAGGTACAAGGGAGGTGGGGCATTGCCTACTGAAAATTAAATTGACTCTTTGGGGGCAATGGTGAAAGATCTTGGAAATCTGGACTCCCAGGGCAAGTGCCTTGACATTCAAAGGTCACTAGGGTTAATATGCCTCCTTAAACACTCATCTTGCTCCTTAGGGTGGTTTCAGGTAATGTGACACATTTTAATTCTGACTTTTGGGTGAGAATTGGAACTAGTAAGTCAGTGGAAAATGCTTTCTTTTAGTAATATTTTCTTGGAGATGTAGCCAGTGAATATTTCCGGTTTTAGGACAAGGGGGTATCCACAGTTGAATGTCAGACACCAGTGGGGGCATCGTGCGAGGAGAGAGTCTGTCAAGGTCTTGGAAGGTTGGGGTAACTGGAATTATTTTCAAGCTGTGGTTGAATTTGAGAAGGCACTCAAGAGAACTCAGAGTTGTATAGTACAAAGTCTCCTACTTCATATATTTAGTTATCCTCCATCAAATCAACCTTGATTTCAACAGGACTTCTGTGTATAGAATTTAAAGTTCTCTGTGTTTTGTTTCATAATATTCTTCTTTACAAAGTCTTTGTTGAAGTTGTTACAATATTGCTTCTGTTTCTGTTTTTTTTTTTTTTTTCATTTGGCCAAGAAGTTTGTGGGGTCTTAGTTCCAAGATCAATGATCAAAACTGCACCCTGTGCTTCGGATGGTGAAGTGTTAACTATTGGACTGCCAGGGAAGTTTCTGTTTCATAATATTCTTTCCCATGAAAATGTTGACAATTTGAGAATGTTTCAAATTATCCTTGGTGTAAGCTCAGTGGTAAGGCTTAGCTCCTGTTTTTTGATTACTGTAAAGTCTCCATTGGTTTATCACTTGTTGAAGCGGGTTGACCCACCAAGGGAAAGCCTGGTGCAAATTAAATAGGAGAGTAAAGATTAAAAAAAGAATCAAGTGTGAGGCTGCGCCATGACAGGCAGCCTAGATTAGGAGTAGGCCTGGGTTTCCAGGGTAACATGATTATCAGGCCACCTGGAGCCAGCCAAGGAATGTGAGGCTGCGCCATGACAGGCAGCTTAGATTAGGAGTAGGCCTGGTTTTCCAGGGTAACATGATTATCAGGCCACCTGGAGCCAGCCAAGGAATGTGAGGCTGCGCCATGACAGGCAGCTTAGATTAGGAGTAGGCCTGGTTTTCCAGGGTAACATGATTATCAGGCCACCTGGAGCCAGCCAATCAACATGCGCCTAGCAAGAAAAAGGGAACCTATCAGGGGAAAGCTGAAAAGCCCGCGAACACCCAAGTTTGAAAAAAGCCCGCGAAGGTTTGGGCCAATAAGATTACTTTGCAAACATGAAACCAATCCGCTTAAGCCAGCTGCCAACTGCTTATGCACACCTTATAAATTGGGTAACAGCTTGGGCTCAATGCTCTCTGACCCCGTACCACTGCGTTGGACGCGCGGCAGGAGCCCTGACTCGAGTCAGCAATAAACTTCCCTTTTTTTGCGAGTTGCATTGTCTTGGAAACCTTCTCTCTTCCGGCTCAGGGATTCGGACATCGGGCATAACACAAGCACTTGAGGGAATTTGTTTTCATAAGTTTGAAGGCTACTTGTTTTGTTTGTATCTATGACACTGTGATGGAGAAGGAAATGGCAACCCACTGCAGTATTCTTGCCTAGAGAATCCTGTGGACAGGGGAGTCTAGTGGGCCGCTGTCCATGGGGTCGCACAGAGTCAGGCACGACTTAACAGCAGCGGCATGACGCTATGAGGCAGGGTCCTTAAGTGAGGTTATTTTAGGTCCTTTGTACTTGAGTGCATGTGTGAATGTTCCAGCTGCCATGACTCCTCCATCCTTCCTCTTTGTAATAAATTTCCCTTTACTTCCCAAAAAAGTGGGGGAGGCCTCTCGAACGTTATCTCGTAGGGGGAATACCCATGTGACCCAGGGGGGTCATTCTGATCCTCAGTAACACTAATGGCAGCATGTCCATCCAGGGGCGCCAGTTTCTTGCACCCATTTTGTCAAAGTCACCTTGATAGTTTGGTTCATTCTGTCCACCATTCCTGAACTTTGTGGCCTATTCACTGTATGTGGTCTATTCACTGTATGTGGTTTCCATTTAATTACTGCTTTGCAAACCAATTGGAGTAACTCAGCCCCAAATGCAGGCCCATTATCTGATCCTGTACTCCTTGTGGAGTCCTATTGGTAAAGGATTGGAAGCAGCAGACATTGTTTTAGCGGCTTGTTTTAGCAACTTGACTGGACCACAGGGAATCCAGATATTTGATCAAACATTACCCTGGGTGTCTGTGAGGGCGTTTTTAGATGAGATTAACATTGCAATCCATGGACTCTGTGAAACAGATTGCCTTCCCGATATGGGTGGGCTCCACCCAATCTGTTGAAGGGCTGAGTAGAACAAAAAGAACAAAAAGACTCATACATTTAGTCGTATCCAATTCTCTTCGACTCCAAGGACTGTAGTCTGCCAGGCTCCCCTGTCCATGAGATTTCTCAGGCAAGAATACTGGAGTGGGTTGCCATTTCCTTCTCCAGGGGATCTTCCTGACCCAGGGGTCAAACCCAAATTTCCTGCACTGGCAGGTGAATTCTTTACCACTGAGCCACCTGGGAAGCCCTTGTACTTGAGTGACATATAGGCTGTTCAGTAATCATTTTTTAAAACAAAAATATTATTTCTTCTGAATGAAAAAGAAATCAGTGCTTGTTTAGTGTTTGATGGTTAGGATATACAGTTGCTGAATGGACAAGTGGAAGTCTGTATTATTACAAATGGAGTCCTCATTTGAAGATTGTATGATAGTGGGCAGTATTAGTCCATTCCAGAGAAACAGAATAAATAGAAGATGTCAGGGGAGGGAGGGAAAGAGAGAGAGGTAAAAGTGGGATTTATTATAAAGAAATAGTGCATGGGATTATGGAGGCTGAAGTTTCAAGATTTGCAGTTGGCAAGCTGAAGACATCAAGAGAGTTTATGG